ATATATATGCATTATATTTACATACCACACACACACACACACACACACAAACGAACAAACACATGTAAACACACACACACATATATATACATACATATATATACATACATATATATGTACATATACACACACAGGGTGTGTGTGTGTGTGTGTGTATGTATATGTGTGTGTGTGTGTGTGTGTGTGTGTGTGATGCCCAAATTTGTAATGGGTGTTTCACCCTCAGACAAGCACAAAGTGTACCCTTCCCTCCCCCTTTTCCTGCGTCCTCGCCCTGGGCGTGGCGTGCCTGGGCGGGAGAGGGAGAGTCAGGGATCAGGAGAACAAAGAGAAACGAAGAAGGGATGACCCTGCCATGAATCCCCCCCCCCCCTCCCCCTGTCTCAGCCTCCGTGCCTTGCTGCTGCGACCTGTGTACGCAGTAAGCTGTGATCGGGTTCCCTTTCTCTCTGCGGCCGATTTCAAGGCGCAGATTCCATAATCTCCAAGTGATAAGCGCTTGATTCGGGAAATATTATTTTGCACATTATTGCACGTCCGGGCGGTAGCAAGCGGCGCGACCCCGTCATTAGCCGCTGCTTCCGTCGCGCGAACCGCCGTGCGTAACCGGCGGTCTCACGCGGGCCTCCCTGCGCCATATGCCACGCACGCCGCGCGCTCGCTCGCCCTCCTGCTCCACATGCTTAACTAGAGGGAATTTTGCCGCCGAGGAGGAACATCCCTCGGCCGCCGTGTGCCTCCCAAGACCGGCGCTGGAATCGGGAAGCGGAGACGGTCGGGCGGAGGGAATTCGTGTTCAATCTGCGCCGAAGCTCGCCTCTGACGCGTCGCGCTGCCATTGAGACTGGCCTTGCTCTGCCTGGCTGGCTAGGCGGCTTGTTGGTGATTGGATGATCAGACTGATGTTGAAGGAATAACAGTGGAAAAACTTGTTTGGAAATAAAGAAACGACAGCAAACATTATTTAGCAGAACCCCCTTTTAGGCAATTAGCTATACATTTAACAATATACATATGCATCTGAAGAGCTTTTAAGATGATATCTTGAGGCACAAGTTCATTTTCATGCCAGGCTTCCACAAGCAGCTTGAAAAGCAGCTGAACAAAAGGTTTGATAATTCCGTTTATGCGATTTTAACTCTAGTCAATATTTCTCCTTGAACCGACTCTGCGGTTTGTTTGGATCTTTGATACTCTGGCCTGATTAAATAGAATAGCCTGCCTCCTCTGGCAGATTCCAACCACTTCAGACTGAAACGGTTTTGCCACAATTTTCCGACAGGCGCGCTCGGACGGGCGGGCGTCATCGCGTGTGATTTTTCGTTCACTGCCGAAGCGGCAGAGGCTTTGTGCCATACATTTCTTCGGTAATAGATTTATTTTCCTATGAAATGCGCCTTACACAGTAAAGTCTCCTCTGCTGGATACACAGTAAATGTGTATCTCATTTTTTGGGTTGAAACAAAAATGCAGTGCGATTTATGTGTACTTGTGAGGGTGTATGCGTGTGTACATTATGGCAATATCGGATGTTCCGCGACAGAAGCGCGGGTCAGCAGCGTGCCGAGCCGCCGAGGCACCGAGAGTGAAAGTGCCGGAGGTTCCGCTCCGACCGCCCGACCGCCCGACCGCCCGACGCGCAGCCAGCCGCCCGACCGCCCGACCGGCCGATCGCGTCACGGCGACCGCAGCTTAATCTCAGTTTGTTGTTTTTTCTGACATGTCACACCACTCGATCCGATGACTTAGAATTGTGCTTTAGAAAGTGTGGCCGCCATTTCATGTTGCCCGTTACTCGTTTCGCAATCAGCATGATTGGAGTTGTCAGCAGTCTTCATCTTATTTCATACCATATCTCATGCGATTGTTTAGAGTGATGGCATTGCAGTGCATATTGAAGTTTATTTAAGTAAATGTAAATGATTGTGCAAGCACAACACAGCGTCTTCAGCGGATCTTCCGCGAGGACGTATATTCGCGAATGTTTACAATCTACAATCTATTTTCTTCACGCACCGAGTACTGCCTATCACATGGGTGCGCACGCCTCAGTCTGCACACGCCTTTGTAAATAACAGGAAAGTCCTTCACAAACCCTTCGTGGGCTGTTATGTTATAATCACACAATATTATATAATAAATTTCGAAGACTATCATAGACTTTCGTCGAAAAATATACAGGTTTGAATGTGGTTTTAGAAGCGGTGCTGTCAGCCTCTATTATAATATTAGTGGTGATTGAAGAAGCTCTTTATACTAGTTATATTTTCATTAAAAATCAAAACGTTTTTCCCCAAATTCTTGAAATCTTCGCACCAAAGATCTCAATTCAACTTCTGTAGAAAGTACAGATTAAATGGCTAGCGAGACATTTTCGTGCATTGTTCAATTTGAAGAGTACACAACGTAGAAAGTACACAGGCATTTGGCCACGCGTGATTGGCCCTTTAGTTCAGGAAGGTTTTAACGAAGGATCAACCGACCCCTTTTGGTTTTCCAGTACCTGATCGCGCTCGTCCTGGCCATCGCCACGGAGATCGGGGGCCTCATCGCGCTCAGCATCCTCGACACCAAGGCAAGTACTGCGGCAAGGACGTGCACGAGCCGAAGGGGGAACGTAGAGAAAAGGAGCTTGGGAAGCGTGATATAAGCATGGCATACGCATCAACACATCTTTCTTGTTAAGGATCCTTGGATGAAGATATATGTCACAAGCAATATTTGATTAAGAAAGATTAATATTCAATCTACAGCTGGAAATGGTACTCCTGAACGGTTGGGCGGAGGTCAACCAGGGGACACGCAACATTGTTCAAAATAAAGTAAGTCCTTCGTGTATAGAATATTCCAAACGTTGATTTACGCTTTTTTTCTTTCTTTTTGAGAAGGGATAAATCTGAATATTGTACTTGTGTCATAGATGAACATCAGACGATTTACAAATAAAGCAATCCAACAGTTTCTGAATAATATGCGTGTGAAGATAGTGAATAATATTTTTCAAACATCTAGTGATGTTTCTCCGTTTGGAATCAAATTAGATACTTCTGATTATTAAACGAAATCATTCAACATAGTCTTTAGTATACGAATTAATCTATACACGTGATGTTCAATAAGTTATCATGTAAAAATTAATTTTGAATCTTGCAACAACAGTAAACAGGATTAGTGTGAAATCGCATGTGGTTTTCTATATATACTAGGTTAAAGTGAATGTAGATTTTGATAGATATTCTTTACCCTGCATCTTTTTTTGCAGAGAAGTGTAGTTTCACTTTTATTTTCAGTTCAACTGCTGCGGATTTTATGGGCCCAAGGAGTTTGCCTACACTAACTACCCTCTCAGCAACTCATGCTATGATGGTGCAACGGAGACTGATGCTGACGCCTTCACTAATGCCCAGCAGCTCAAACAGGTGACATTTTTTTCCTCAACTTCGAGGCCCACCTAATCCCTTGTCCGTTGCTGTCGTGGGGGGGGGGCTTAGGAGACAGAGGCTGAGACTCAATGCGGGGGATTTCCTCCGCCTTGGATCTCAGCCCATGTCAACTAATTTTGTATGGCCTTTTCTCCTTCTTCTTTCTCTCTCTTATCTTCCCCAACCCTTCCCCTATCTAATTTTTAAGATGTAAGAGCTGTTGAAAGGATGAAAGGCTGACCTCGTGCCAGTCATGAACGGCCTCAGGGAGCCATGGGTACGGTATTCCTTGGTAAATCATTTAGCCATTATCCCTTACAGGGACCCTGAGGGATGGACCGTTTTTTACCTTCCCCACATATGTCAAGCTTACCATGGCCAGTAATGAAAATTGTGTACCCTTATTAGGGGCACTGAGGCTTGCCCCTTGATCGACTAACCTCTCTGAATCTAAATCCTCTAGTTTACCGACCCCTGACTCCCCTTTGACTACGGCTCAGTACACTACTAGTACACCTCCCTCCTCTATGCATACTACCAACTTACCCATTCTGAATAATTTACCCAGGTACCAACTCAACCCTTAGAAGATATCCCATCCTCACTCCTAACACCATCCAGCCCACTTCCTGAACAATCATCACATTTTATCCCCTCCTCCCTCATGACAGCTCTTCAACCGTACCTCCATAATATACTACCTCACCTCACACCATTCCCTCCTCCTACCGCCCTTGCCCCTCTACAATTCCTCTTTTATTTATAATCTGTTTAGACCAGCTAAATGGAACCAATTCTTTATAGTTCCCCCAACATCCCCTCACTTAGATAATACCCTACTCTTTCAACAATGCCTCCAAAAACAAGTTCGCAAAGTTTTCTTCTGCACTCACCTCACTCACTCGCAAACCTATACCTGTTCTATCTCACCCCTCCCTTAATACATGTACTGAAACTGTTTTCCTCTCCTCATTTAATTGCTCTATGCACGGAAAAGACTGGGCAGACTGTGGAAACGACCTGCTTGGTTGCCTCACTGAATATGATGCGAAATCAGTACAGTGCTACTCTATTCCCCCCAAAGGCAATCCTAAATCCAGCATTAATATATGACATTAAATATATAATGTATTAAATATACATTTTTATTAAATATATCATTTATTAAATATATAATACACTAAATATATAAATTTGTGCATTTTACAATGGAAGAAAGTTGAGCAGAATTAAGATCAAGTTATTGTTGGTGTGGCCCTCTGACACAGTTCAGGTTTCTCATGTGGCCCCTTGTAAAAATTAACTGCCCACCCCTGTGTTAGACCATATCAACCCCCACCCCATCGATGTCACAATGTGCAAATTGTGGCGGACCTCATAATGTATTCTATAGAGGCTGCACAGCCTACAAATTTAAGAGTGAAGTAGCAAATCTCCAGATTCAAACTAGGACTCACTCTACGAGAAGCCAGACAAGAAGCACGACGAAGAGGTTTTTCAATCACAACATACTCCAGTACCTTACATCAATCCACTCCCATCCATGCTACCAAAGTGGTCTATACATCTGCAGCACCACTTTCCCCTGCTCCTCAACTTTTCACCTCTAATTCCCATATCCCCCAGTCAAATCCTTTCTCCATCCTAAATCCAGACACTCCAGTATTCTCCTCCCATGTCTCTTCCTACTTCACGCCTTACCTATCGCATCAGACAACCCAAACGCTCCACTCCATCTTCTCCTACCAGATCACATCACACACCTCCACCCTCAAATTCTCAGATACCGATCTCCTCCTCACCTCCCCATATCCTTCTTTTCCCAACCCCCCAGAAAACCTTGATGACTTAAGAAACTTTCTACATATAACACAAGAGGAAGTTCCTCCCTCTACCCAGATTGCGGCTGCATTCACAGTGACTGCCGAAATCCAACCTCCCCCTCCTGACATTCCCCTACCCCTTTTCCTCCCCCTCCCACACCTTCCCAACACACCCTATCCACTCCCCCACCCTTACCCAAACTAAAAACCCTTCCCTACTATCCCTACCCCTTCCTCCTGGATGTACACGCGAATCCCTTCTAGCACAATGCCCTTCTCCAGATCCCGCCTTTCCTGATGAACCTCCAGATACTATACCTTCACCTTTTCCCCCTGATCCCTCCTCCCATGATGATTCTTTTGATACTACACTACCACCTCCATCCCCTGATACCATACCTCAGCCCCCAGACACCTCTCCTCTTACCTCTCAGACATACATTGCCGCCCATAATAGCTGTTGAATGATCCGCAATGGCTCTTCTGCAGTGGAACATTAGAGGCTTTCGCTCACACAGACCTGACCTCTGCCATCTTCTCTCCTCTTACAATCCATCTATCGTATGCCTCCAAGAAACCTTCCTGACACACCCTCCAGTAGCAATTCCCAACTACCATTTTGTATCACTCCCTCATTCTATATTTGCTTCTTCCATACTTGTCCATCATAAAACACCATATATCATGCATCCTTTACAAAGCACCATACCTTGCACAGTTATCCGGATTTTCCTCCACCGCTGGATCACAATAATTTCAGTCTACTTCTCTCCTTCCCTCCCTCAATATTGACTTTTTAGAATTTGAGACCTTACTTTCCCAACTCCAACCACCTTTCCTAATAGTTGGAGACTTTAACTGTCGCCATACCCTCTGGGGTGAATCTATTATCAATACCAGGGGTCGCTCCTTGAAACAATTTCTAGCTAAAACTGACCGTATCCTCCTAAATTCCAACAATCCCACTCATTTCACCCTACGCACGCAATCTTTTTCATGCCCAGATCTCTCTCTTTACTCTCCTATCCTTCATATAGCCTACCACTAGTCTGTCCTAAATAATTTTCACTTTAGTGATCACTTCCCAATTCTTCTTTCTTCAACATCCCATATCCCACTGCTGAACCCTCCTCACTGGTGCTTTGACAGAGCAGACTAAAATACCTATACCTCTCTCTCTACTCTTGAAATTCCTCCATCATCCTTCTCTACCACCTCAGAAATGCTCCAATACTTCACAACTAACGATCTAAATACAGCCTATATAACCAACCCTCGAACCTCCCAACCTTACACCTCGAAATGTGTTCCATGGTGGAAACTTGAATGTTCAAAAGTGCTTCATTAGGAATAGCTACCGACACAAGAGAGGCACCCCCAGTCAATTAACAGCCTTCATATCCTTTAAAAAAGCATCAGCCCATCTTCGCCGTACAATCCGTAACTCCATGACAAACAGCTGGCAAAACTATGAATCCTCCATAACATCCTCTAAACCAGTCTCTGCAGTCTGGCGGCGGATCCATAAGTTATCCGGAAAACATCCTCCTCATCCTGCCCCCATCCTCCATATTCATAATAACCTCATCTCTGACCCTCTTCAAGTAGCTACTGAACTTGGTGCCCTTTTTAGCCAAGTCAGTAGTGGCTCTCATCTTTCTCCTCATTTCTCTTCCTTAAAGTCAGACAAAGGGTGCACTCCTATCTCCTTCTTCCTGTCATCTATAAAACCTTATAATGTACCCTTTTCTTCTTCTGAGGTCTATAATGCACTTCAATCATGCCGCAACGCCCATGAAGGCCCAGACGTTATACGTTACTATATGCTACGACACCTTTCTCCTACTCCCTTATCCTTCCTTCTTTCAATATCCAATAACATATGGACGACTGGAAACTTTCCTCCCCACTGGAGAGAAGCCATAGTACTACCTTTCCTGAAACCTAACAAAACAGGTACTCTTCCCCAAGACTACCGCCCCATAGCCCTTACAAGTTGCCTTTGCAAATTAATGGAAAGGATGATAAATTTCAGATTAATGTGGTACCTAGAATACCACAAAATCATTTCACCAAATCAATTTGGATTTCGTCGTGCCAAAAGCACAGCTGACCCACTAGCCTATGCAGGAACATTAGTCACATCAGCATTTGTACGCCGCGAGTCAGTGTTAGCTGTCTTTTTCGGTCTCGAAAATGCATTTGATACTACTTGGCGGTACCATATACTACAACAACTATCTCTCCACGGAATACGTGGAAACATGGGTGTTTTTATAAAATCCTTCCTCTCTGACCATACCTTCCGTGTCAGATTTACCTCTTCCACTTCTGAAGGTGTCCCACAAGGCAGTGTACTGAGCACCACACTGTTCCTCATAGCTGTAAATGGATTAGTTTCTACTTTACAACCAAGAATCCGTTCATCACTGTATGTGGATGATCTAGCCATCATTGCCTCCGTCCCTTCCATGAAAGTTCTCCATCAACTTATCCAGTCGTCAATAACATTAGTCTCTCCCTGGGCTACCAACCATGGCTTTCGTTTCTTTATCCCTAAAACTTTCTCCATCCTTTTCACTCATTCAGGTATAGGCTCACAACCGCCACTCTTACAAACCCTCTCTCACCTATCCTGGGGATCAGACCGCAAAACACTCCTTCATCTCCATATTACCCTAATCCTCTCCACCCTTGACTATAGTTGTCACATATTCTTCTGCCTCTGCCTCTCTTCTCTCTCTCCTTGATCCTATCCACCAATGTGGTCTCCGCTTAGCCCTAGGAGCCTTCCAATCCCCTCCAGTTGAGAGCCTATACACTGAATCAGGACACCCATCCCTCTCTAGATGCCGCGCTCTTCTGTCCCTAAGAAGTTATGCTCCTTTTCACCAATTTTCACTCTCCAAACTAACTGTCCCTCAACCACTTCGTATCTTCTCTTCCTCTCTACATTTGCCTGTCCCTTTCCCTGTTCATAAGGACGTTCTTCTTTCCCATTCATCCTTTCCTCATCTCCGAATTCTTTCTCTTTCTACCCAAACCTTCCCTCCCTGGCTAATGCCTACCTCTTGTAATTGCTCAGGTATATTTCCTGACTTACCAAAGTCAAATATTCCACCTGTCCTCCTCACACATTTCCTCGCACATATCTTTAGCTACTCCTCCAGTACACATGTCTACACCGACGGCTCTAAATCAACCTCAGGTGCCGGTTTGCTATAATCTTTCCCACTTACACATACAGTTTTCCTCTACCACTTGAATCGAGCATCCTTACAACAGAACTATATGCTATCCTCTTTGCACTACAACATGTCTTCTATCTCTTTCTCATCCTTCACCATCTTCACTGACATGCAACTCAGTATCACTCATACAATCCATTCACCCTACCAATCCCATAGTCCATGAAATACCAGCTATGCTACCCGGCTACACGACAGAAAGCCGTAAATTTTTGCTGGATACCCAGCCATGTCAGGATTCCCAGCAACGAAAAAGCAGATAACCTGGCACGATCTGCTGCCTTGCCCACAATTCACCAACCTTGTTTTTCATGCATTCCAGCCACCGACTACTATCCCCACTTCAAATCTTTCCTTTGCAACCGTTGGCAGTCTTTCTGGTCAGATCTGTACACCAACAAAGTTTAAAATATAAAATCTTCGATCTCTCCTTGGTCAGCTCCATACCGTCAGAGCAGACATTGGGAAAATGTCCTCGACCGCTTACGAATAGGCCAAACCCGACTCACTCATACCTCATGTCACACTCCTCTAACCTACCTCTGTGCCCTACATGCAATGTCCTTCTTTCTGTCCCACATATTCTAATATCCTGCCCTTGCTTATCCCTCACATATCCCTTCTTCCCCGATCCCACAACCTATCAGACATCCTTACAGAATCCCACATCTTTTCTATTGATAATCTATTTCCTTTCTTAGACGCATAAATATCCTTCATTTGATATCATCCATTGTCCTTAACCCTTCCTCTTATCTTCAATACCTAACCTACCCCCATCTACCCTTTCTTTCTACTTTAAATACTATATTATCATTTTAACTAATAAAGAACAAAAAAAAAAAAAAAAAAAAAAAACTCCCAACACAATACAATACCATAGTGCTATGTGACCTTTGATGTCTAGCGTATTGAATTTCTTGTTATTATTGCTTACTTACTCAACGTCGATGTTTATAGGAAGTGTCCCACATCACATTATAACCAAGGATTTAAGATGTTTTGTATGACGATATTCATAATTATAAGATGTAAGAAAAACTGAGGATTGTTGAACAGTGATGTAATAAAATGCATGCCCATATCTGTGCAAGAGGTGTCTCCAACAACTACATCTCCACAGACTGGATGTGGCGCCCCACTCAAATTCTGGATGGACGATAACAAAGCTATCTGGTGCTCTGTCCTGGCGGGGCTCGGTGGCCTCCAGCTGATGTGCGTGATTCTCTGCATCCACATCATCCACAAGCTCAAGGACAAGTCGGGCTACAAGAGGACCTCCTCCAAGCGGCGTCTCCACGACGAGAAATCGGCGTACTCCCTGTGAGCCGTCGACCACCATGAACTCATATGGTGAACTTGGATGTTTGTCGCCTGTTCCATCTGTCAGCTTTTCCGGTTGTGAATCTCCGTGGGAAGAAAGGCTGCAGCTATCACTTTCAACCTTCGTTTGGCCGTTCTTCACCTGGGCCCTTTATTTGTATTTGAATATTCTAAATTCACTTTTGCCTATTTCCATCTATTGTGGGGAATTGTGATAACGATTTTATGTTTTATTTATTCTAATACAAAATTTTATTTTAAATTGATTTTATTTAAAATTTAGTTATTCAAAACTGAAAACGTGAACGTTTCCCAGTCCAAATTAGCTGTAATGTAAAGTTGATGACCCTGACACGTCTTTAGATATACATAGAGTAGTAATGGACTTAAATCACATTTAGCAATGCCAAGGAATTAAGCCATGAAAGTGTGCCATCAGTTATAATAGTGGTTTCTGTGTTCAGGTACATCTATGTGATTTATCAGAAAGTGTTTAGGCAGACGAGCGGTAGTACCTATAGAATAAACTTTCTAGCTCACCATATAGTTCATGCAATAGTAGTGGTCGACGGGAATAAATGAATCTCGTTTTGTGTAACTCTGAAGCCACAGCCCGAATCTTCAACTTCAGGCGTCGTTAGGCCGCACCCGCACGGTCGAGCTCTGCCCGAAGGTCTGTACTATTTCTAGACAAAGTCTGCGGCCAATATTCGCATTGTTTGTATTTGTGTGACAGGAGCCGGGCTGCTCTCTTCGCATTCACTTTGAGACTGACCGACAACGGACAAGTGGTTGAGTGCGGGACAGTCATCAGTCATAAGATGATTTCGCTCAACACCGGACACGGATATCTCGATTGTTTGCCCGCTAAAGATGCTCGATGATGGTACAACCCTCTTTACCACCTGGCAGTGCTTGGCCGTGTGTAAGCGGCATTAGTCAAACAAATTACTCTCCTCCTTTAAATAGTGTAGCATGCATCTATACCTGTTTCCGAAAAGGAATTAGAAAAACTCTGTCTGATATATGTTTATTCATATAAAAATATGGATTAATTAATTTCGAGAAGCTATTCTGTCTTTTTGTAATTGAACTCCAATCGGCCAATAAACACATTGCTACGAACTTGATAAAATTCCATCACTATTTTACGAGGCTCCGTATATAAAAACATTTTGAATTTTAATCCATAATGAAAGTGATTATCGGCATCAAGAGTTTTGCTAAATTGTTTCGGAACTCTTGATCCTGATATGGTTACTACCTGGTATTGTTGATAACTTTGTTGAAATGGCTTGTGTGGTACTGTAGCTCATGAATACAAAGTGACACTATGTATGATCTTAGAAAGCTACATAGTACACGTATTTATCTTAATGCTGTACCATTATATCAATTTTATGTCGTTCATGTACCTCAGAGAAAACAGATTTAATTATTTTTATAATGCCTTTTAAGATGTACAACCAGTGTTATTATACATACATTTTTTGTATATGTTTCAATGTTTGGAAGCCCATGCATAGACATTTATTAGACTTTAAACGAGAAATGTGATGTTTGTCCCATGCTACTTATATGTTCGCTTTTCTTCTCCAAAGTGCGTCTGGTTGTCTGTTTCATACTATTTCTGCAGCTGCGTTTGTGGACCCTTGCTTGTTTGTTGTTTGTTGTGTTTTTTCCTCAGCGTCTTTGTTTTATGACTATTTTGACCGTAAATAGACTTTTGACTTGCTTGTATATATGTACATCACCTTTCCCGCTTTTATAAATGCTGTTTTAGATATGAAATCAATGTTTGTTATAGCTTTTTATATCAATAAAATTTGTCTTCAACAATTTTCTTCCCTTTATCAATTTCCAAATGTTTAATGAAATTTCTTGTATCATTTTCTTCATAAACATGTACTGTCATGTGTAGTGTGATCATTATGTTTATACAAGCATAAGGAACCTATAGAAAGTTCTATCTTTTGCAAAAAGCCATTCCAACAGTACATCCCTGGCACCTGATACAACCATTTGTCACGCAAGCGTAGCCACATTTTACTGTTCTTAGTGGTGCTACTATAGAGTGCAGTATCGTATTCCTGCTTTGAAAACGTGTAAAAAAATTAATTGAAGGGAATGACCCACAGGATTTCGTTACAAAAATTTTGCTGGAAGGCAAGTGCTAGAGCCATGTTTCATGTTCGAGATAACGGAGCTTGAAGCACCCAGTCAGATGGAAGCAAAAAAGGTTCAAGGTAGCACGCTAATGATCAAGAAGGAATATGTCTCAAAAGAAAATAAATTTTCCAGGTACAAAGATGTATTGAACGATGGTACTCCCCAGCGATTTCAAATGTCACAAAACAAAACAGATATAGCAACGAGAGTCCGGTTTCTCAGGTTTCTCACCGGATCCCCCATCAAGTGCCAACCCAAACTCATAACAATCAAAAACTAGGAAAGTGCTGTAAAATGACCAGCCCAGAAGCTGATGTGGAAGGAATGTATTAAACAGCCGGAGAGGACCGCAGCTTCAGCCTCTTGGGATCACTGCAGAGCCGGGGCCGAGCGGTTCGGGAGGATTCTGGAAAGCAATTCCTGGGTGAGGAGCTGCCGTTCCCTGCGCGCGCCCTTCAGCACGGCGCGGTTCTCGTTGGCGCGTCGCGACAGGTACGGCATGACTTCCGCGACGC